ATTCAGATAGGAGCGAAAAGCTGGTCGTTAGCCGAGACACACTCGGCGAAGACAGAGAATGCCGGAGGCGCTCTACCTTACGTTCGGACTGGCTTTTGTGCGGGAATTCAGGATCGGTGTTGTCTGGAAGACGGATGATCGGAAATCGCGCTCTGTGCCAGCGACGCCGGGCTTTTATACGCGTCGCGGCGGCGTCGCGGCGGCGTCGCGGCGTGGTGGGGGTAGCGACGGCGATCGCGAGCGCCGGGCCGGTGCGGCGGAACGATCGGGAATCGCGGCGCCCCGACGCCGTGATCGCGTTCGGCGGTCTTCGGCCGCCTTCGGCACCGCTCGGCGCGGTGAAGCGGTTGCCGCGTTTAAGTCCATTCGCGGACTTCCTAACGTATGAGATGATTAAAAAATACGCTGGGCACATTGTGCCCGTTCTTCACCCCCGCGGGTGGTCGGCGGGGTGGTCTCGGCGTGGTGTTCCTGCCGGAACGATGCATGTTTGGGGGTGCAGCGTTACATCACCCCCCTCCTTGGAAAGCGCGAATTCGGCGCTCTACTTTTTCGGTTTAATTTCTCGAATGCTGCGGACGGAGCCGGTTGCGTTGAAACGGATATGCCATCGCTTGCCTCCCGACCGCGTTTTGTGCTGCCGGGAGACGTGCGCATGGTAATGGGGCACCCATATGATGTGCCCGTCCTCTACGGCTACCGGGATCGGGGGCGGTGGCTGGGTCCCTTCCGCCCGTAATGGTCGGACCTCGGCTGGTGCTGGTTGTAGCGGCGGAGGCGCAAGGATCCTCGTCGTGGCCGCCTCTGGAGGTGCCGTCGGGCCGGTGGTTGGTATTGGCAGGGGTCTCGTCGGTGCCGGCGGGTTGTTGGCCGGTGTCGGTGGCGGTGCCAGGGGTTTTAGACGGCTCCGTATGGCCTCCAGGTCGACTTTCGTCCTCTCTATTCTGGTGATCCTCGGCATGGCGCGTGGTCTGGGCTGGCTCAGTGGCGGCGGCGGGGTGGTGAGCCATTCTAATTTTCGCCGCTGCTGCTCGTCGGACCGTTGGATCGTGCAGCTGACCGTTGGCACGTTTTTGCGTGTCGGCGGTGCGCCTGCAGGTTCGGTACTCCTGGCGAGGGCGGCGGCGGCGGCGGCGGACCCTCTGTGGAAGAGCCTCGACCAGGTATACCCGATGTCCGGGTGGGCCGGGTCGTATTCCTCTGGCTCGGCGAGGATCTTGTTGATCTTCTCGAGGATATCCCTCTCGATCGACGTTTCGCTCGTGACGGATGCCATGGCTCGTCTGTGAGCTTTTCGTTTTCGGCGTCGGTATTTATTTTCCTTTTTGGGAGTGGGGCGGTTTGCTTTTCGCCTAATCTTCGGCTCTGTCGTCGTCCTCTGACTTTGTTTCGTTGTTGTTATTGTCGTTATCTCCTGGTTCCGTGTTTTCATCGTTGTCGGTTTCGGTTTCGGTACTGCCGTCGTCCTCGATGTCGTTTTCGCCGGTGTTGGTCTCGGTGTCATTGTCCTCTTCGTTGACGTCAGACGCAAGGGCGGCGGGCGCGGGTTTTAAATCTTGTACGTGGATATGGCGGCTCCACTTGCCGCTTTTGTCGCGGAGATCGACGATTACCGGTGATACAATTCGGCGCACCTCGAGGGGCCCGCGGAACTTCGGTGCCAGCTTGACGTTAAACGCGGCGGCTTTGTTGGCGAGTGGGTATTCGCGTTTCCATACCCACTCCCCGACCTTTGGTGCCCACTGGCGGCGTCGTAGATTATAATATTTTTCCTGTCTCTGAAAAACGCGCGCCAGGTGTACTCTCACGAGTTCGTAGGCCTCCTCGAGGTGTCGGCGCGTTTCGTCCGGCGGAGCGGCCGCGGCGCTTGGGGCGGTTTCCCGGTTGAGAGGGGAGATTGGTTCTCGGCCAAATATGAGATACGCGGGGGTGTAGCCGGTAGCTTCGTGGCGGGCCGTATTATACGCGAATTGGAGTTCGGGGATGCGCTCATCCCAATTACGGTGGTTTCGATCGACGTATTGCGAAATCATTGTTTTTACAACCCGGTTTGTTCGCTCGACCGGGTTGCAATGCGGCGCGTGGACCGGTGCGTATACGTGTCGGACGTTATGGGCGGCGAGCATTTTCGCGAGTTTACTAGAACGGAGCTGCGTGCCGTTGTCCGACAATATCGTGTCGGGGCAGCCGTGGCGGAATATAATCGCTTCGGCGATGTGCGTGGTTACTGCGGGGGCGGTGGCGCGGCGCAGGAGGCGCATTTCCAACCACTTGGAGAAGCGGTCCTGCATCGTTAGGAGCCATGTGTGGCCTTGCTTCGATCGCGGCAGCGGCCCGATTAGGTCGAGGGTGACCTGTTGCCACGAGCGGGTGACGGACGTGGCGTGTAATGTCCCCGCCGGTCGGGTTTGCGCACTTTGTGCCTTAGGCACCGAGGGCAGTTTCGCACGTATTGTGCGATTTCCCGGAACATACCGGGCCAGTAATATAACTGTGCGACGCGAGCGATCGTTTTCGCAATGCCGAGATGTCCGGCGGTGGGAGCGTCGTGATTTCGGCGGAGGATCTCGGGGCGCAGTTCCTTAGCTACGCATTCCTTCCATTGGGTTTCGGGCGGGGTTTCGTTAAAGTCAAGGTCGTGCAATATGTGCCGGTACAGTTTCCCGTCCCTCACCTCGTAATCGGGGTGTTCCCGGGGAGCGTCTTGCACCGCTCGTAGCGTCCGGCGGTACCACGAGCAGCGGGGCGGGGTCGTGACGGCGGCGGCGGTGTTTTGACGCGACAGGGCGTCTGCGACCCGGTTGAGGGCTCCTTTGCGGTACTTGATGTCCATATCGTATTGTTGGAGCTCGAATGCCCAGCGTCCCAACCTGCCGGTGGGTGCATCTAATTTTTGCAGCCAGCGGAGGGATTGGTGGTCGGTAATTACTGTAAATGAGTATCCTTCCAGATACTCGCGCATTCGCCGTATTCCCCAGATTACAGCAAGGCATTCGAGCTCGGTCGTGCTGTAGTTTCGTTCGGCCTGATTCAATGTGCGGCTTGCGTATGCGATAACCCTCTCCCCCTCCGGGAAGTTTTGCGTGAGCACGGCCCCGAAGCCGGTCGTGCTTGCGTCGGTTTGTAAGATAAAGCGTCGCGTGAAATCACGAGAGGACCGGCGCGGAGGTCAGGGTATCTTTTAATTTTTCGAACGCGGTATCCTCTGCCTCCCCCCAACTCCAGCGGGCGTGCTTTCGCGTCAGGGCGGTGAGCGGTGCGGCGATGGTCGCGAAGTCCTGGATGAACCGTCGGTACCACGATGCCACCCCCAGGAATTGCCGGATTTGTTTTACGGTTTGCGGCCCTGGCCACTGGGCGACTGCCCGCACTTTCTCAGGGTCGGTACGGATCCCTTCGCGATCGACTATATGGCCGAGATATTGTAGGCGGTCGACGCAAAATCTGCATTTATTCGGGTTGAGTTGTAAACTGGCTGCGCGGAAGCGCCGGAATACTTTGCGTAAGATCCGGAGGTGTTTTTCGAATGTTTCCGTGATGATGATAATGTCGTCGAGGTATACGAAAACGTGCGGTTCGAGTTCCGGCCCGAGCACGGTATCTAGCAGCCGCTGGAATATCGCGGGGGCGGAGTGTAGGCCGAACGGCATTACTTTAAAATGATAGAGCCCCTTCCCCGGTACGGTAAACGCGGTGATCGGTCGGCTGGGTGGGGTGAGCGGCACCTGCCAGTACCCGCTCTTGAAGTCGAGCGTAGTTAGGTACTTCGCCCCGCGCAATTTGTCGAGCGTTGCGATGATTTGGGGAAGGGGGTAGGCGTCGGTCTTGGTCGCGTCGTTAACCCGTCTAAAATCGATGCAAAATCGGTGGCTCCCGTCTTTTTTCCGTACTACGACCACCGGGGAGCTCCACGCGCTATTCGATCGTTCTATTACCCCTTCCCGTTCCATTTTCTCGACCTCGGCGTTAATGATGGCCTGCATGGCTGGATTGCGCGGTCGGTACCGTTGTTTAATCGGCTCGATGTTTTCTTTAACTCGGATGTGGTGGGCGGTTTTGTCGGTTGGCCCGCTCACTCGGTCGAAGAGCGGGAGTTCTTTCGCGAGGAACTTCCGGAGTCTCTTAGCTTCAGCTGGGGTGTGTGGCGCGATGCCCTCGGTCATTGCGATGGCGGGGATCTGGTCGCGGGGTCCCGACTCGACGGGCGCGGGGATGGCACGTCCCAACTTTGCCTAGAAATCGACCCCGAGTAGTACCGAGCTTCTCAGGTTTGGCATAATTGTAAAAGAATGCCAGATCGTTTTGCCGGCGGCCTGAATTGGTAGCCGGACGCGGCCCGGTAACGTGATATGTTGCCCGTTGGCGAGCTGGACTTGCCCTTCATCCGGGGTTACGGGGAAACCGAGGTTCTGCGCGAGTCGGGCGGTGTGCTCGTTGACGAAGGAGATGTCCGATCCGGTGTCGAGTAGGGCGTCCAGTGGACGGTCTCGGATGCGCGTCTTCAGGTGCGGCCGGGGCGTGAACTTTACGGGGAGGACCGGGGGGTGGCCGGAGTTTCCGCGGTCCCGGCGTCGTTTCCCGGAGGTGGGTGGCACTCCTTTGTGAGGACGCCGTCTTTGCCGCATTGCGAACAGAATTTTCGGGCGGGACGCCGGCAGTCGAAGCGCGTGTGCCCGCGCTGTTTGCAACGCCAGCAGCACTCGCTTCGGTTGTATACGGCGGCGGTGGTCGGTGGGTCGGCGACGGTGTTTTTCGCGGCGCTGTGTTTCTTGCGCTTTTGCTGCAATCGCTCGAATTCCCCTGCCCTCTGCTGCAGCTCCCCGGGGCTGCGCACATCGCTCCGCCAGATGCGGCTCTGATAGTCCGGATGCAAATTTTCGTAGAACTGCTCGATCTGTTCTTCGGTCGAGTAGCCCCCCGCCCTACGCATAAGGGTCAGTATTTGCGTCGCGTATTTTACGTACGGTTCCCCCTCTTTTTGTACGCGATCGCGGATTTTGTTTGCTAGCTGGAGCCGGTATCGTCGCGGCAGGAATGTATCCTTGAAATCGGTTAGGAACTCCGCCCAGCGGGCCCAGTTGTCGCGGTTATTCCGGTACCACAGTAGGGCGTCCCCCCCGGAGTAATTCGGGTAACCCGCGTAGCCAGTGCGCGTCGGAAAAGTCGTAGGCGGCCCGCAGTTCGTCGACTCGCTCCAGGAATGCCCACGGGTCCTTCTCTTCGAAATGCAACCCCCACTTCCGCATTTGGTTCATGATTTCCGTGGACGGGTTACTCGGGGGGTCGGCGTGTATCACGGTTACCGGGGTGAGCGGGGGGTCTTGATTTAAGGTTATGGCCGGGGGCGGGAGGCGGAGGATGTCCCGTGCTTCGAACATCTCGGGGTTGTCATCGATGAATTTACTCAATCGTTTCCGGAGTTCGTCGAGGCTGCCCTCGGTGTCGAGTCAGAGCATTTCCATTTCGTGCACGAGATTGCTCTTACTGAGCCGGTAGTAAAATTCCTTCATTTTGCTGTTCTGCTCCTTACGGTCAAGTCCCTGTTCGGGCGCCATAAAACAACCTGTCTTCGAAGCGCGGATCGAGCTCGCGGTTGGCCGGGGTTCGAAGGAGGTGCGGAGAAACAGACGGAGGGCGAGGTTAGCGAAATGAAGGCGCGTCTCGGTTACAAGAAAATAGTTGAATTTATTCTATGACAATTTACAATCTACGCTCGCGGCATTTACAATAGGTCGATGCGTGCGAGGCGACGTTGGTTTGGTCGCGGGCGGCGCGGGGTAACTCGCGGTATGTGCGGGGCGGAGCCGCTGCTTTTGGTATTCGCGCGGACCGAATCGCGTGGTGGCAGGTATCGGCACGGGCGGCGCCGGTTTCCCGGCTGGCTCGGCCCGGGGCGCGGAAAAATGGCGCGAAGCGCGGCGGCGATATGGATCGCGAAGCGTGGATAACGCGGCGGAAGCGGGTCGTCGGCCGAGACACACTCGACGAGGGCAGAGAATGCCGGAGGCGCTCTACCGTCTTGTCCGGACAGGCTTCGGATGATTCGGATGATGAGAAGCTGGTCCTTCGCCGAGACACACTCGGTGAAGACAGAGAATGCCGGAGGCGCTCTACCTTCGTATCCGGACGGCTTCGGGTGATTCAGATAGGAGCGAAAAGCTGGTCGTTAGCCGAGACACACTCGGCGAAGACAGAGAATGCCGGAGGCGCTCTACCTTACGTTCGGACTGGCTCTGTGCCAGCGACGCCGGGCTTTTATACGCGTCGCGGCGGCGTCGCGGCGGCATCGCGGCGTGGTGGGGGTAGCGACGGCGATCGCGAGCGCCGGGCCGGTGCGGCGGAACGATCGGGAATCGCGGCGCCCCGACGCCGTGATCGCGTTCGGCGGTCTTCGGCCGCCTTCGGCACCGCTCGGCGCGGTGAAGCGGTTGCCGCGTTTAAGTCCATTTGCGGACTTCCTAACGTATAAGATAATTAAAAAATACGCTGGGCACATCGTGCCCGTTCTTCACCCCCGCGGGTAGTCGGCGGGGTGGTCTCGGCGTGGTGTTCCTGCCGGAACGATGCATGTTTGGGGGTGCATCGTTACAAATTCCATACTGAAATTCCACTATATTGGAATGTGAACTGCCATTTTATACAAAAAAGACGGATTAATTAGGGACGATTTAATTTTTTGTAACAAGTATATAAAAGCTGTGCTTTTGTCTATTAGCAGTTATATTTTCTCATCCTTCGTTTTATTTTTGGAGTAATAGTATATTTTTTATGTAAACTTCTTGTTAAGTAACTCAGATTATATAGTCAGTTTGTTAACTTGCAAGAGCAATTATTCTATTCTTTTATGTAACGAATAATAAGATGATTTTATTTTATTTTAATGTAATCAAAGATAATTATTTTTTATGTACTCAAGACTGACTTAATTGTTCAAGAAAAAATAAAAAATTAATTATATTTTTATTGATTACTTATTTATTTTATTGCTCTCTAGTAGCAGATTATAAAACTTTATATTTTGTAGGTACAATTCAATGTTTACAATATCTCACAAGTATTATTTTTTATGAATGTGTGAGAATGTTTTGAAGCATTCTGATTTTTTATTTACAAAATTTTAAATATATCTTATACATATACAATATTTAGTGAGTTTGTATTTTTGAGCTTTATTGTATATCTTCTGAATAAAAAATCAATGCTTCAAAAATCAAATATTTTCACAAATTCGTAAAATGTTTATACCTGCGAGGTTTTAATCATTTTGCACGTACGAGCGATTTGCGTTTTC